TTCAAGATATTTTTGTGTAATTTTGGTAAATATATCTGTTAAAATGATATGTCAGTGTTATTTTCATTTTTGCGTAATTTAGACGACAATTTATACATCGCACCCTGTCTATTTACATGCGAGGTGTTCTGTGTGTGGGGGGGCTCTCTATCTCTTACTCTACATATATATATATATATATATATATATATAGTTTGATTGATGTGAGTTTGTAACCCTGGGTTTCACGCTTTTGCGATCGTCAGACAAACTGATTAATTTTTTTTTTAATTTTGGATTTATGTATGTCGCGTCTATTGGTGCTTTTATGGAAGTGGGAGGAAAAATTGTCGTTGTGACGCCACTCATACTTACTTACGCAAGCATACATACACGCCCGTACACCCATTGAGGTACGCAGACACACGTACACAAGCGCTCGCTCACCCAATATGTTAGCTCTGTCTTTGATATTGAGCGCTTTCCAATAAGTACCGCGCATATAATACATAAATAATATACATAGTATATTGCATATATATATATATTAAAAAGAAGAGAGATACACGTTTTTGGTTGTAATGTAGATTTTTTAAAAATAAGATTATGCTTTAGTAAAATTAAAGAAAATAAAGCATATTTTCTTTTAAAAAAAATCCACATTAGAACCAAAAACGTTTGCAGTAAATCTCTTCTTTTTAATATATATATATATATATATATATATATATGTGTGTGTGTGTGTGTGTGTGTGTGTGTGTGAAAGTGCAATTTTATGTATATTATTTATATATTGTATGTGCGGTACTTATGAGAAAGCGGGCAAGATGATGTGAAGCACGCTTTAGGTCCCCTGCAATTGATACCCACCTTCGAAAGAAAGGAAACAATTGACCGTCCAAGGAATCCACGGCACCCGACCTTAATAGGTAGCACATGACATGTCCATCCTGTTTCCATGCAGTAGGATCGTAGCGATTCATAGCATATATATATATATATATATATATATATATATATATATATATATATATATATATATATATATATATATAAAACAATATATATACACAAGTGGTCAAAAACGTTCGCGTCCCTATCATAACACACAGATTAGAATATGAACATAAACTTCTCAGGGAGGGGATGATGATCTCAGCAGAAATGGAAATAATCAGAAAACCATTTCTTGACAGAAATAAAATTTTTACGAGGTGGAATGGAATGCGAAACCGACATTGCACTACCTGCGCATCCAATGTTGTATATGTAATGTGCAGTATATATATTGAGATATTCAGAGTTGAAGATATATATATATATATATATATATATATATATATATATATATATATTTATACACATATATATACATATATATATATTTATGTATATATATATAAAATTGAACATTGAAGTCAACACTTAGAGGCGACAGTGTGGTTCATGCTAGACTATCTCTATATTGAGGTAATTTTTTTTTTGTGACCTGACGACTGTGTCTAGAATGAAACAGACTGTCGCCTTGAAGTGTTGACTTCTATGTTCAATTTTATATTTACGCACGGTCTATCGCTGATATTGAGCACTTTATCCCATAAATATAACACATTTTAAGACTATATTTCTTCATATATATATATATATATATATATATATATATATATATATATATATATATATATATATGTAAAATACAACAAAAAAAACAAAATTACCTCAACATAGAGATAGTCTATTTCAATTTCTATGTTGAGGTAATTTTGTTTTTTATAAAAATACATAAGCTCCTTTAGAATAAAAACATCGAGCTCTCTATGGATCAGTTTTAATAATTAATATTACAAGGATCCTTTGAATTATATTTAACGGATTGATTACCTGTAATATATATATATATATATATATATATATATATATATATATATATATATATATATATATATATATATATATGTATGTATGTATATGTATGTGTATATATATATATATGTGTGTGCATGAATGTATATATATATATATATGTGTATATATATATATATATATATAAATAAATATATGTATGTATGTATATGTATGTATGTATATATATATATGTGTGTGTATGTATGTATGTATATATATATATGTGTGTATATATATATATATGTGTGTGTGTATGTATGTATGTATGTATATATATGTATATATATATATATATATATATATGTATGTATGTATGTGTATGTATGTGTATGTATATATATATGTATGTATATATATATATATATATATATGTGTGTGTATATATATATAAATATATATATATATATATATATATATATATATATATATATATATATATATATATATATATATAATAAAGTTTTAATATAAGTGAAACATGTTAATGATATATGTTTCCTATTCTATATTTTATCATCTTGTCGGATTCTGATCCATATTAAATCAGAATTTGATCTTTAACTATATATATATATATATATATATATATATATATATATGTGTGTGTGTGTGTGTG